GAGGATGTCTACTCAGTCTCTCCAAGAGAGCCACAGTAACAATCTTCGATTTCCAGGATATTTTAAATAAAACCTACTTCAAAGCCAGGATGGTACATAAGAAAGTCTAATTAGGTTTAAGGACACTGTGATTTTTCAAATGTCTTGTGAAATGGTACTTAAAATGAGCTAGGTTATACTACAAGCAAAGGAGAGATACAGGTCACTGTGAGATAGGTACCTATAAATAACTTTTGCATTAATTAGGCTTTCAAGATTATATTTCAGGCAGTAGTAGACCTGGCAAACAAGCAAATGCCTCTTATGACTAACTTCTCCTTTATCCCAGTAGGACTCGTCCTCTGATTTGCCGCTCACTCTTTATGCTGAGTAACTCACACAGTGATCAGACTCTCCTACCCGGCTCTCACTCTGACTCCTTCTTTGATAGGCAGCATCATTTTTTGCAAATGTTCCTTAACCTTATGGATGAAAGATCTTGAAATCCTTTCTTTTTTTCAAAAAATGGCCCCTTTCCACAAGTATGACATTATAAGGTGCTTATATTTGTTTTCTGAGGCCATGTACTTTTCATTCTGTATTTTTGGTTATGAGAGCCACGAGAAATTCCATAGTGCTCCCTGTGATTGTTGTTACATTCACTGTCATATCTTCCCAGAAACAGCCCTTTCTCTGTAACAGGAAGGCATTCCATCAAGTTCTAACTCCTCGGTACTCCACTTGTAGACCTTTTGTGAAGAGTTTTCTTCCTTGCACCAACAGAAGTCATGCTCTTGGTTGGTGTATGCAATCGAGGCTTCTTTTCTAACAGGCAAGACCACCCAAGAGTCTGAGTCAGTTAAAGACTTGTATAAGCAGAGCCGTCCAAAATATAATGATCTTACAGGACTGCTGTGATGAAGAAGACATCTGTCTTCAATGTCTTCCTCTACCTTATTTTTGCTAGCCTTTACACTGTGTTGGCATTTTAGGAATCAGAGAACAGGAAAGATGCATTTTTTTTTTTTTTTTTTTTTGCTCATTATTAGCATTATAAGCATAATTGTCAAGGCAGATAGATGGCACTATGTGTTTCAAAGGCCAGGGGGCGTCTAGCTATTGTATTGGAATTCAGCTCTGGGCAGATGGCTGCTAAGTTCCTTGCAGGTTCTCTCCACTCCCAATGGTAATTCCAGCCCATCAATGGCCCTGAAGCAGGGAGTTGTCCGTCCAGCCCACCAGGAGGGAGGACTCTGGAAACTCTGACTAAAGAGCAGCATTGAAGGAGCAGAGGGTCACCTGCAATTTGGACTCTGTCCTTTCTCTTCTGAGCTTTGGTGCAGAGGAGAGACCTCCTCTGGTGTCTCTGGCTGCCCCTACCCGCCAGGTTTAGGGCCGCAGACTGATGCATGTTCTGCATTCTCTGGATTTGAGCTCCTTAAAGCAGGAAGTAAGTGAGCAACAGCAAGCTGGTTGAAAACAAAACTCCATCCTTTAATGGATTTAACACCAACAAAAGGGCAACCACCCCCCAAACAGCCAGAGAGATTTCCATGAAAGCAAAGCTATTCAAGGAGACAGACAATGACATGAATGAAATAGAGAGAGAGGAATTTAACATAATTCTAGTAAAGCACTGAAAGACCTTGAGGAAGTAACAAATATGATTTTTTTTCTGAAACTAAAAAGTTCAATGGGAAGGAATGACCTTTATTGATACTTGAATTTATCACCCGGAAGATCAAGTAAATGAAAAGCATTTGGCTCACACAGGAATAAAGGCCCATACGAAAATCAGGAGGGAAATTAAAATAGATTTGGGGAATACACAGAGGAGGCCTAATGTGAAAAAATGGCATTCCAGCAGGATGAAAAGGACAAATGGGAAACAATAGTTGCATACTCAACACATGCAATTTTCCAACCAAATAAAACTTCATGTGTGCAGATAGGAAGGGCTTACCATGTCCTCTGCAGAATATTGAGAAACACAAATGTGCACACATATGCATGTACATGTGCACACACACATGCACACACCCCTAGGAACAATCTGATAAAGGTGACGAAATCATAAGGAATCTCACATATTTTGAAAAAGAAGCAATAGAGCCAAAAGATGTGGTAGTAATATCCATAGGTACTAGAAAAACAGGGCTATGAGAAGAGTCATCCTTAAAATAAACACAAAAACCAACCTAATCCATCAAGGTAATTTCCTGACCCAGATACACTCCATCATGCTGTCCAGGGTATTTTCCTCATAGCATTATGAGTCTTCGAAATTCTCATTTAGTTTGTTTCTACGTTTATTACCTCTCCTCCCCCAATAAACTGTAAGACGCCCAAACTGCGGAGAATTTGTTTGCTGTATCCATACTTCCAAAAACAGTAAATATTAGTTGACTGATTCCCCTTTTTAGGGTTTAAAGTTTAAATTTTTGTACAGTAATTTCTAAGGAGGAAAAATGTTTTCAATTTGTAAATGTGAAGTTTTAAAAATATGCTTCACCTCAGATTTTTAACAGAAAAGTAAATCTTGACTGCATCTTTGACTCAAAGTAAGATTATTTTAAAAGCCTATAGGAGTTTTATTCAATAGTTTAACCTTGTAGAAGAAATATAAAGAGCACTGTCCTGATTATGTAGCTATTAAAATGTATTTCCTTTTTATCATTATAATGATTTTATCATTAGAGTGATTTTATCATTATAATGATTTTTATCATTATAGTGAAAAAAAATGTCCAATGCAAGAATGAATTTTTCCTAAAAGTACAGACTTGTATATACAGTTGTACCCTAAACCCATGGGATATTTGTTTCAGGATTCTCTATGTCGACCCCCCAAGTCCACAAGTGTCTTGTATAAATAGTGTAGAGTTTGCATAGAACTGACGCGCATCTCCAATATGCTGAAAACCCTCTCTAGATGACTTATGATTCCTAATGCAATGTGAATAGTCATTACACCATATTGTTTAGGGACGAATGCCAAGAAAAGAGCCTGTACATGCTTGGTGCAGATGCCATTTATTTAAAAACAGTATTTTTTCCCTATATTTGACCCCAAATTGAATCAGTGGATGTGGATCCCCATCCACTGGAACAAGTGACTGCTGTGGGAGTGAATGTCATTTCTCTGCTTTTCGGCATGGTGACAAAGTTGCTTCTCTGAAGCTGCTTAGCAGGATGTTGGGAGCTGAAGGTCAGCTGTGTGCCAAAGGCGCTCACCGTGCAGTGTGTATGAGCCCCAGAGTGCTACTTTCATGTGCTTTTCTTGTGTAGGGAGAGAGGAACCCTCAGGAGGTGAGACACAGCCTACAGAGGCTGAACGCCCGGGCCAGAATGCCTGTGTCTGAGTCTGCTCACTTAATAGCAACGAATATGCAGCTACTACATTCCTTTTTTCTTCTGCCTTTATTTAAAGAGTTCCATTAAGTCTTTCTACAAACAGCATTGAGATTTCCTAGGTTAATGAGCACAAGTCCTTAAGTGTGCGGCTAATTAAGAATGATATGCTGAACTCTCTGGAAATGATTAAAGCCCACAACAGAAAGTGATGCAGTCTCTGTAATCTTCAGTTTTCTTTTTAAAGAGAGTGATAGTCATCATACTAAATGCTTAATCAGTATTTTTATTATTCGGTCTAAAATCTGAAAGAAAATGGAGCCAAAGAAAATGATCTTCAGAAGTCTAGATATAACAAGTAAAGACAGGCTCCGCCAGACTGATGATGCTAAGGGTTACTTAAAACGCAGCGCTCACGCAAACAAAAAACAAAAAATAAAGCACTCAAAACTGAAACAAGACACTGTAGAGGATGTAACCAATATCTCATACCCAAAATGGTTCATAAACAAAAAAACCTGGGGATTTTATGTCCAACAGGATTGGGGTCTTGTAAATAATTCCAACAACTGTGTGAGCTTAGGAAAATCATTGAAACTCAGAAGCTACATTTCATATTTACATGACTGGAATAAGCTACTCATGTGTATACTGTAAATTTTAAAAAAATAACATTCAAATCCCTTAAAACAGTGCCTAGCATACAATGTGCAGTCAATAAATAATAATTATTCTTTTTAAAAAAGAGACAAAATATAAATTTTGTCTAGGCCCACACAGGTGAAGTATAAGGGTAACTGTGCTATTTTGTGATTGTCATTGGTGGATGAGTGGATGGTATTCTGATAACAGTTGAGCATATAATAGATTCTTGCTAAACAACTAACATAAAGGATTACTTTTTTGTTAGGATGTAATGAATTAATATTCTGGCATTCAAACCAATCTCTGTCCCACAACAGTCCAATACTAACTAAACTCTTGGGAAGAGGACTTATTTGTCTATGAGAGGCACAAGCATACTTCTAAGTAACAATTTTTAATTAAAACAGGAAGAGAGACAAATGGGGAATAAATGTTTCCAGTGTTGTATCTGAGTCATGAAGGAGACATGCCAGTAACTGTGGAGTATGGCTTCTTACATGACAATAGTGTATTGGGTGGCAGATTTGGGTGTGATTATAAGGTGTCAGAAAACAAAAACCCTTTTAGCTGGACAATTGTTAAGGGAACTCTAGAGGGTCAATTTTACCTCTAGCTTACCTTATTTTCATGGATTAAGTCTTAAAAGCTGAGCAAAACTGATTTCTAAATCCAGGACACACCTCCTATGATGCCTACAAGCTCTCTCATAAATACATTTTAATGATGTTTTAAAATTTGAAATATTATGACCGCTATTGGTTCATAGCCTGACCCATTCTTTTGGAGGCTTTAATCATTTCCAGAGAAATCCCTGTTTCACTCTTAATTAACTGTTTTGGTTAACCTAAGAGATCTCAGGGCCAGTTGTGGAAAGCCTTAGATTGGATTCTTTTAATAAAGACAGAAGGATATTTATTAGCTGTGTATTTATTGCTGCTGCACGGACAGGTTTGGAATATTCAGGTGTGTCCTCGGCTGTTTGTGCGTTTCACTGTGATTATGCTGATATTTCCTGGGATTTGCAGAGCACGGCCATGTGGACCCCGACACAGCGCTGGCTGGCGCGCACGGCTTCACGGGCTGCCTCTCGGCGGTGCAGCTCAGCCACGTGGCCCCTCTGAAAGCCGCCCTGCACCCCAGCCGCCCAGCACCTGTCACCGTCACCGGGCATGTGACCGAAGCCAGCTGCGTGGCCCCTGCTGGCACTGATGCCACCTCCAGGGAAAGGACACATTCATTTGCAGGTGGTTTAAACCTTTTCCTCTACCCACTTACAAACTCACCCTGTCCATAGGACTGGGAAAACTGCTGATTTTGTTACTATGCTGCATTCTCAGGATGGCTTCTTAGAGTTGCTTCTGTTTAAATTTGGGTTCTCTTTCTCTCTTTTTTTTTTTCCCCAAGAGTCTTTTACTTTAAAGGCAAGAACAGCATAACTTTATTGACTGCTAAGTTTAACCATGAAATGCCAGAAAGAAATAATTACAAAACAATGTGAGCTTCTTTTTTACATTGGTATCATGCTGATATGATCCTTTCACAGAAAGGATTATGTATAGTTTATGTAGATATAAAGTTCATTCCTGCACATACAAATGTAAATGATGTACAGAGGCAATATATACCAAATTGGTGTACTTACTAAGAGGATATGTAACAAATGCAGAATAAATAACAGCTTTATACTTTTATTTTTAAAAACAATTTCCAAAATAAAAATGTAGATTTTTGAAAGTGTATTTTCACACACACACACACACACACACACACACACACACACACACATACATAAATCTGCTGCAAACAGTGTGTCAAAAAGAAAAAAATGGTTCCTGGCATGTTTCATTTTTGAAAACCCTTAAGACTATTCATAAATCCAGTTAGAAAGAGGGTGTGCAAAGCCTCCAATACTGGCAAAATCCTGAAGAGAGGATTCTGGCTGAAGTAGAGAAAAAGTATAAAGCATTACCTGTTCATGTAAATACTTCTTTTTCTTTATGTTTTGCAAGAAATACTAAGGGCTAAGAAATGCATGGCATTGTGTTCTGGGCTTTTTGGAGTACCAGGACCCAGGCTTGATCTCTTATGCAAAGTATGCATAAGTATTGCATAAGTATGCATAAGTGACGGCAAACGCTCTTGAGTTTTCAACGATACAAACATCCACTGCAGCACGGGAGCTACACATTCGTCACCACCGCTCTGCAAGAAATGTTGGATTACTTAGGGACCGAGAAGCAAAACAGTCATTAAATGATCCCTTCATATTTCATCCTTGTCTAGAGTCTTAATTTCTTATTCATTGTTTAATTTGAAAATGATAAAGTTCCCACACTCACTTCCAGATTTCTGTTCAAGCTTAAAACCTTTATGAATTTTTCAAAATTTCTTCCTTTTTCTCAGCTGTATCACCTCTGTCCCCTTTTGTGATTCAATTGCAGATCATTCCGGAACAGTGGATGACAGGGAACCCCTCACACATGCAATCAAAAGTGACTCAGCAGTAATCGGAGGTAATGAGAAGCACGGATGAGCTCGTCTTCGGTTCCTTGTTGCTGGCTAGTAACTGTGAATGTTTAGTTTTATATAACTGTCTATGGAGAATCTGCTCATATTACAAGTGCCAAGCGTGGAGCGGTGAGGGCAACTGATGGTTTCTGCTGGATTGTCTTATAGACCCGCCCTGAATTCTTGGCACTCTTGGAAATCTTTAGTATAGATAATTGACAGTTTCACTGATACACCATAATCAAGGAATAATTGCAAAGCTGTAATAATGCATATTAATTAGACCTGAAATGTCCATTTGCAAGCCCTATGGAATTCTGAATATATTCAAGAAAATGTCATTTTTAATTTCCTTTGCCTTGGACACACGACTGCTTCAGCAAGGGCTCATGTAAAAAGTAGGAATAATACTAACACGAGAAGCATATATTTTCTGTTGCTTTAATGTTTACTAAGCTGGATTTTTGGGGGATAATATTCAATATCAAATAATACTATACTTTCAATTGCATTTTTATCAAATATTAGGTTAATGGACTCAGGGTGGTTAGCAATAATTTTAAATTGCAGAGTTAACAAAATCTTTGAAAGTTATCTCTCTGGTAATGTGACAGCATATACTTTGAGATGTAATTTATTCAAAACCAACTCTAGAAATAAACCTTTTCTCTTCCTGATTAATGCTCTAAAGAATGTTATTAATCAAATTATTGAAATGTTAAGTGGTTTAGCTTTTTTCCACCTTCTGAATATGATATGGACATATATAAGGTAAATAATTATTCTAATACCTTGCCGGGTAATGTGGTTACTCATATACTTGGGCAACTCCTGTGGACTTTATACTTGGTCCATTTGATTCTGCATTTTGGCCTCTTTTGCACCCAGATGTGGGTTTTTTCAAGTAGTTATTATTTTATTCAGACAGTGAATGTTATTTGTCAAATCTTTGTGACCACCACTGTTAGCTTTTTTTGTCGCTTTGACAAAATACATCAGAGTAACAACCTGGAGGAGGAAAGGTGCATTCGGGCTCATGGTGTTGGAGATTCCAATGTCTGGTTCGCTGGTTCCTTTGGATTCAGTCCTGTGGTGAGGTGTGACCATCATGGCGGAAGGGCTTGGTGGGGGAAAGCCACTCACTGCATTGCAGCTAGGAAGGAGACAACGAGAAATCAGTACAGAGACGTTGCTAGCAGATTTCCTCCTTCCTTCACTTTTGTTCCATCCCAGGTCCCACCCTGCTGAGTGGTGGCAGTAGCGCTCTCTCCGTGCATTCCTCCGCATGCGGGGTGGTTTCCCCATCGGTTTGCCGGCCCACATGGCAAGCATCTGTGGAAACAACTGGAACCATGCTTTACTAATTTCCTAGGTGTTTCTCAATCCAGTCAGGCTGATGACTGGGAGTAGCCATCACAATTATTATTCCTGTTCCTTTACTTTTTCTCAAATTAATGATGTGTGAATTCAAGATACATAAATGGAATTTCATTTAATCACATGGCAAGCAAAAAACTACCTTTCATGAATAATAGTTAAAATAATCTGTAGTTTTAGTTAATAATGATAAGGTCTCTTAGAAATATTGGGAAAATTGTACACAGTAAAAACTCTTATAGCTGTAAGATTTACAGTGTGATCAACATTTAAAACTAGGATTGCTATCAAATAAACTGTCCAATGATAGTGCCTTTCTCAGGCATTCTCCTTGTGTAGACATAGGTAGATGTAGATACCAAGGTAGATATAAATATAGACCATTGTATTGTCAAACCAATATTAGGACAAAATTAATTCTTACACTGTTGTTTTGGGCAAAGTTCATTTCTAAGATTTACAGAGTTGAGGAACAAAGGTGCTGGTACGTCATTCGAATGTTATTCAAGAACAAAAATAAGTCACAGTTCACCCAGGAAATTCTTACTTAAATCAACTGCATAGGGCAAAGAAAGACAATACAGCAAGGCTATGCCAGTTATGCCAGGTATTCCCCAGGGGCCATGGAACTGGTGCTATGTAGTTTCCATGTCTGCAGAGATGGAGTCTCAGAAGTGTAGCACCTGGCAATGCCTATCTGAGCTCAGAAGGCCTCCTTGGACCACGTGCAATTTACCTGCCAAGTCACAGTGTACGGGCCTCCAGTGCGTTATTCCCTCTGGTAGCATGGTGGTGCAGCACTTGCCCACTGTCCAGTTACTCATAAATTGTACCTACTATGTAGCCATAGTTAATCCAGTTAAGCATTTTCCAGGCTGTCTAATCCCCCTACACTCATTGTACCTTTTATATAATTTTCTTTTTTTAGAAACAAAATAAGTTTAAGATGGGAGAATTGATATCAAAGGCATTTCAAAGTGGTGACCCAGATCTGCAGCATTTCTGGCCAGCACACCCAGACAAATTTAGACGGAGAGAAAATTACATAATTTCTTCATAAAAACACATTCACCCAGTGCTTTGGATGTGACATCACAGGGTATAGGCATGGCCATACTTTATATAGAATAGTTTTACTTGTGTTTTTTAATAACAGGTGAGATCAAAGTTTTTCTTGGGCACAACACATCCTATCAAAATTTAACCTGAATTAAAACAGATAAATCACATTTATGGAGGAAACAAGTTCAGAGACCATCTATGGTTTTGATTATCTCAGAGTCCCATTTGGCCCACTTTGGCCGACATAGTGGTGATACTCACTGTCTATAATGTAATCTAGTAGTTTTCTTACACTGAAATTGTTGGAAGCTCTCTTTAAGCCAGAAGCTTAATAAGAAACAAGAAGTATTTAAAGCAAGTCAACTGAGAACAAGAGGCTAAATATATAACAAATGAATATTCTAATTAAAGTTAATACTATGGTTAATAATAACAAAAGCAACCATGCCTACTAGTAAATTTTTCAGATTTCATTTACATACTTTAGTCACCTCATTCAATTAGATTGTTTCCTTTCCCAGGAAAGGCTGACCTATTCCAGTTTGGTTCAATATTGAAAATATCATGATTGACTATGGAAAATCAGTATCTTTAGCAAATCACTTGTTTAGGAATCTCCTGATTGACAAAAATTTTCAAATCTTTAACTTGATCATACTCCATTATAGTTATATACGTCTTTTTTTTTTTTTTTTTTTTGTCTTTTTGAGACAAGGTCTCACTACCTAGTTCAAGCTGGCCTTGAACTCACTTATGTAGCCCAGGCTGGCCTTGAACTCACAACAGCCCTTGTGCCTCAGCCTCCCAAGTGCTGGGATTACAGGCATGCCCCACCATGCCTCGCTACATCTATTTTATATTAGAAAGGTGTCTTAATTTTGCAATATGATATTTGACCCTCATTGTTACCTACCTTGACTAATCTCATCAGAAACGTCCTTAGGTATGAGGAAATTCTTCAACTCATGGTGCCACAGTAGTTTTGCAAATTCTATGTTTTCTTTGAAGGCTTGATTTTTAGAATTGGTAACATGTGCTGTTAATTTTCTTGAAGTGGCAGATTTATTTTCCTTACTTTAGATGAAGTGCCCACCACATACCCACATCTGAACAGCCAGAATTTGCCTGTGAATTTTTGCTTCAAATAAAAATGGTGCTGCTTGAAACATAAATCAGCTAGTTCAGTCCATAACTCCAGTGTTCAAACAGCATTCCTCCTGGGACAGGCCTCACCCTTCAGAACATGCCACACATACGTTATTTGTATTTCCCATTTCAGCACACAAAACATTCAAAAGACTTGCAGTCAAGGGTCAAGTTTTAATAAAATGAGAAGTTTTAACTACTGCATCAAGGACATCCTTAAATGAATATGTGGCTTTTGCCTGGTAGTACGATGTCCTCAGCTTCATGCATTCAAGGACTACTATTCCAGTTCGGTACCCTTGCCCTAAACTGTGCTGAGTACTGGGAGTTTTACCTGCTTTATTTTATGTCATCACCAGAAATTTCAGCATAGTGGAAAAGGCACTTCAGAAGCATCATGAAGTGAGTTTTTACCTATGGGATCCTTCCCTAGGTGTCCTGGGGTTCACAGATCTTATTTTGAGGACAACAGACCTAATGTAATGCTAGGGTTGATTATTGTAGGCATGGCTGAGACTGGACTACTAAAAAATTTTATTTTTTGAAACAAGAAGTTTCAAAAACTCAATGTTTCTCATATACAAACAATTTAAGTACATCTGTATATCCATACCTATATTTTGCTAGGTATGTTTGTTCATATGCATGACATATTCTTGGTATTCAGTACCATAACAAATTATTGAAAACCAACTTTATAAAATGTTGATGTATTTAATCATAAAACACATAAAAACCTTTTAACATTCAACATTTTGCTATTTTACTAGTCCTCAATAATTTCAAGATAATTAAGACTTTTCTACATCTTAACATGAAGTAACCACCTTGGCTTAGAAACTTGTAGATAACACATAGTGCTAAATATAAATGTACATAGTAGATCCAATATAATGTGCATTCAGATTAAACAGAGGTGAACGTATAAATTGATAGCAGTCAAAAGTAAACTCAATATATTTGAATACTATTTGAATCGGAAATACCTGAAGTTGTCATCTGTCCAATTTATGTGTATTAAATTCCTCACTTTAGTGGAGAATAATTATCTTAGGACTTATGAAGCAATGAAGTTGACACAGCTCTATTCCACCCAGAACTCTGACTTTGTATTTCTTTTCTGTTCTCTCTCTAGGTTTGATAGCTGTTGTGATCTTTATCTTGCTTTGCATCACTGCCATAGCTGTTCGCATTTATCAGCAGAAAAGGTTATACAAAAGAAATGAGGCAAAAAGGTCAGAGAATGCAGGCAGTGCTGAAACTGTTTTGAAAAGTGAGCTTAATATGCAAAATGCAGTGAATGAAAAATCAGAAAGAGTACTTCTTCTGATTGGCACCTGTGATTTTACCTATACCGATGACAGTTTGTTTTAATAGCCAGGGGCTCTGCAATGGACAAGAACTGTTCTTACCCTGAATGTACAGGCGATGGATTTGCAGCACTGCCATCTCGCCCTGTCCAGGCTCGGATGGCTCCAGGAGGCCTCATAGAGTGACGTTCTTCTCATGGCGGTCATTCTGTGTAACAAAGAATTAGACATTGCTGTTAATTTCCAGCTGTCCCAACATGATCTAAAACCAGTTTAACTTGCTCAGTGACTACAGTTTTTAAATGTGAAAACTGTAGTACCAGTCTCTTAACTGTGTAATACATAAGTTTTGTTAGAGATAAAAAGTCAAAATTGGATTCTAATGACCTTGCTTTGTTTGAGAACATATGCTGCATTTGCTTTAGTCTTCCCCTGGTGTTGTTCATAGACCTGGAAATGCTTCTAAGCTCCTGTTTGGCTGGTGTTTGCATCTTCAGTGGCCAAAATATATAAAGCCCTTTGCCTTTCTCTGTATTACATTCAATACATCAGTCGTCTGGAAAAATGTTTTGTTGTCTTTGGCTTGTTTGTATTGCTCTTTTTCTATTTGACTCTTCTTAATGATTTTGGTTGCATTTGCTTTTGAGTGTCTGATTTTAGCTCTGAACATACAATTCGTTTGTAAAAAGACTCGAAGTGCGGTGGTTGTCCATACGTGCTGTCTTACCTTTAAAAGCTTTCTCCTTTATTTGTTATCAGTGTTTGATGGTGACAGTAATTAAGACCCTGAGTAATTCCAACTTCCCAAAGACTGTAAAATGTTTTCAATTAAATGTGTTGATTATGTAGAAAAAACAATTCTTAACACAGCAAAAATTATTTTTAATTACAACTGTAATACCTCGAATGAAATACACTTCTGAGAATATTTTCCCAAAACCTTATGTCAGTTTTTTGTAGGTTTATATTTCTGTTTTTCCACAATGTACCATCAGCTTTTCTTGATCTCCCATGACTATATTCCATGTAGTATCTTCTTACATATTAGAAAAAAAGTAACAGATTGAACTATGGAGCTCCGTTTCCCATGCTAAGCATTCTAACATATGTACCCCTTCAGGCATGAACTTTTAATGTACACTTTTTGAAATATCAGCTGCAGCCATGCCCCTTTTTCTAGACAACTGGTAGCCTAACTAAACAATGTTCATTGTAAGGTAAAATAGCATATTACATAATGCGTACTAAATCTCTCCTTCTAGTCACTTCCTTTGAAGATGATGGAGTTAGCTTCTCAGAAAGTATCAACAATCAATGAAATCCACTAACTAATGCATTCTGATTCGAGTATATATACACACTAGGAGATTGAGGAATTATCAATAACCTTATAGAACTGTTACTTAATTCTGAAGCCATGTAAATAAGAGACTTCCTTGGAACAATCTCTGTGTTCCATGAGACAGTTAACTAATACAGGCACTTTGCTGTTCGTGCTCACACCTCCAAGTGCCTCCCAAGTAAAAATTAGATTCCTTAGTCTGGATGTACTAGAAAATCTAGAGATAGGCACACTCATCATTACTGTCCTCTTACTTTATACGCCTTCCTTGTTAGCACGTATAAAACCTTTCTGTCTCTTCTCGTAGCGCTGCATCCATATTGATGTTTCTGTAATGCCTGAAAATTTGAAGGACCTGAATTAGCGTAACAGTTCCTGAAGGGCTGCTGTTGGTAAATGACGTACAGTTTTTTTAAATTGGAAGACCTGTGGTGACAAGGGAAAGATTTAACATAGAAATGGCAGTGTTTGTTCAATGTAAAGATGAATGCAACCATTACCACAGCTCTGAATCTTTTCCAAGTGTTTGTTTTATTTAGTGGCAGTATTAACCTTGTCGGTGGGTAGAATGTAGACAGGTTTGCAGATGGTGAAGCTACATAGTCCTCTGTGGTTTGCATTGCTAGAGGCTGCAGCATTTTGATATCAAAATGCATTGACATGTTATAGACCATGGTTTTGATTTGCTGATTTGTAATTGATTCCTTTCTTTTTTCTTAATAAAATGCATTTTTGAAATAAAATGCAGAATATATTTTAAGAGATGTTGTATAAAAGTTTAACAGTAGGGAATTATATTAGATTTCTTTTTCTTAAAACAGTAAAAAGATGTATAGATGTACACTTGCTTTACTGGTGTGTATGTGTGTGTGTGTGTGTGTGTGTGTGTGTGTGTGCATGCCTGTGTATGTGTGCTGTGTATATTTAATCCTTTTGAAAGATTTGGTGATTATTGTGAACCACTAACAAATATTACACTTATATAATTTTCCTTTTAAATGGACCAAAACATGAAAGAAAATTAGAAAAATGTTTGCTGATTATAACAAGGAAAGTCAAGTTACAGTAGATTTTAAGTTTCGCCAGAGAACAATGATGTGGCTGTCAGCAATTGCTTGTGGAAAGGTTACTGTGCATTTAAATTGAGTGATGTCTTTTCCTTCTCTTTTCTTCTACAGTGAGCTAGGCCAGTGAACACAGTAGAAATGCACAAATGTTATATGAGAAAATACATTGTAGCTTTCTATAATATAAAACTGAAAAGAAAAAGCTTTCTTGTCAATTCAAATGAAGGAATGAAACCAGTATATAATTAGCATTCTCATTTTAAGGAGACTACGCTGTCCAAGTCTCATTAAATTAAGATATTCAATGTGTAAATAAAGTGCAGTTAGTGTGGGACTAAAGTGTACCTACATGAGACAGGGGTTACCAGTGGGAATGACATCTTAATTTTATAGTAGTTAGGCCATTGAAATGGTCTTTATCTGCCCTAGATAATAGCTTCTTTTTAAATCCATTCCCAAGAGTTGTGCTTTAAACCACATTTAATACATTCATTAGATGTCAGCTAAAAAAAAAAATAATGAGTAGCCAGAGAACCACCAAAGAGAAGTTGATCGTTTAAAATTATCTTCCATTAGATGGTATTGTCTTTCAGGATAATGTAATCACCAAAATTCTTTGTGAGACTGACGAGTACTGACCTCCTGCTCAAAACAGATGAAAAGTACAAGGTGCATATAACTGATGTTCTCAAATGATGCTACTGTCACAATAACTGTGTGTGTGTGTGTGTGAGAGAGAGAGAGAGAGAGAGAGAGAGAGAGAGAGACAGGGACAGAGAGAAAGAGACAGAGAGATTGGGGGGAAGGAGAGAGAGAGATGAAGTTGAGTGCCTCTTTTTCCTCTGCATGATGTTGATCCTGGTGTTTCCAAAGTCTGAAATTTTAACAAATATTTAGTGGTATAGAAAAAAAATAAAGAATCTTGATAGCCTCCTTGTCCGGGATGACCTCCGGTTCTAGATCCTGTCCACTATTCAACTTATATGAATATTAGCCTCTATTTGATCAATCATTGGCCTTGACAGATTTTTTTTGAAAACTATTTGGTAAGTTTGTGGTCCTTGGTTCCAGGAAAGACAATTCTAACAAAGCACTTTTGTGTGGGCTTTGTGAAATCTGCACGAGATGGCATGAGTCATCAAATAGTCTCCACCCCACAGCAGGATGAATTGGACAGCTTCTACATCAAAGCATGTGCCGTTGATGTTTGGCTTTCAAACCTGCGTATCAACTAAATGATGACTGTACTAGATGCCTTCAATATATTCTTCAGTTCTTCAAAGTCTGGATGATACAGACTGCTGACCGGAAAAAAAAGACCTGAAGCCAAGTGTCTGTGTGTTGAGGGCGTGTAGGAGTAAACACATTTATGTATCTAAGAAAGAAAATCAAATGAGGATAGAAGGAATACGTCACAGCTTGAATATAACATGGTAAGAAATCTGGATTTTTAGTCTATTAATAGCTTCCCTGGACCTTGTTTTTTGAACATTTGCAAATGAAAATAACCCTGATCCAAAACTATAATGGTTTTCCAAGTGTAATTTTTTAAAAAATCCTTTTTCATTTTTAACATTATGCTTACACTTTTACAAAAAATACATGATTGTACTTTAAATAATCAAACAGCTTAACAAGTCTTGCCAGGAGGAATAGCTCTCCCTTGCCCTTTCAAATTACTGTCAGTTGCAACCCTTGAGCTCGTCTCTTCTTAGTTGCTTCTATGTTTGTCACTAATAAAATGTTGTAGGTTGGATTCTCTGGAAAGCAAAGTTTGAACAGAAGGTGCTGTGCACGGTGTTTGTAAGGTAGTGCTCCACAGCATCTATGGGAAGGAGGATAACAGGGGATGGTGAAGGTGGGGAGCCAGGGCTGTGCTGCCATCATGCCACGTAGCAGCTGATTCTGCTGGAATGACCGTGTAGAGATGTTCTGAGTCGGGGTGAAGGGGCTGAGCATGTACTCTCCTTGTAGACCAAGCAGCGGATACTGGCTGCCTGAATGCATGGGAAGGACTTGGACAACTGGCTCTTTCCAGCTTATGCAGTTCCTGAAAATTGAGGACAAGCTTGCTTGAGAGCTAGGGAGAATCAATAGTTAAGTCCTGAAACACAGATCTGAGTGACACAGAACAGTGGCCCTGAAGCTCTCCTCTGTCTTCTCAGTTCTACCTGCTTTATGTGTGTGTTGACAGCAGCTCCATTGGACCTCCCAAGAGCCACTTCCTAGAGGCCAAATGAGGAAGAGTATGGGATAAACCACAGATCCTGCCCCTACAGATGGGTTCATGGTTACTCATCCTCTCCCTCCTTACCATCCAAGCCAGGTTCCCATAGCTCAGCTGATCACACTACAAAGAGCTTGAACCTTTGATATCTTCTTTAAGGTTATTAGGCTGCAGTTGCTGTACTTTTTATTTATTACTAAAATTGATCAAATGATTATCTTGATAAGGGACAATTTCCCCTAATATAGCCTCTTGTAGAACATTGCTTACCCAGGGGTCCACATTGCAGTGAACAGCGAAGGGGAATGGCACATCACTATGAGAGCAGCTGGTCCTGACACATACCACGCCAGCAAGGGTCTCTATACACCCTCCACATGTGGTATCAGCTTTTGCATTGCAGGCAGTAAAGACAACTCATACCAGAAAGAAGTGATGATTTGAGCCAAGACCAATCTCCATTTCTTTCAGAGTAGACGGGATCTGATATAGTAACCTTGCTACAAAATTTACCTACTTGTAAAGGAGAGCCATTTTGGGGGATGAATGCTGGCCTCTGCTGCTGGCCATCTGGGAGTGGTAGTAGTGGAAGCTTATGCTACTTGCGTGAAGCTCATGCTAATTGAGACCATACATGGCTTCCATTTCTGTCTGCATATCTACTCTGTTCTCTGTCCACTGTACCAGTAAGTTGGTGATCAGTGACAGAATGGCTGATACTAACAAGCCAAGTCACTCTGTCTGCTTGGTTATCTAGGTGTATTTCCAGGTTAGCACATGCTGGACAAAGTTCTTTATGTTTCATGCCCACTTCCATACCAACCACATACTTCTACCTCAAATCTGCTTGTCATTAATCTTCTAAATCTCCTTCTGCATTTTTGACAAACTAGCCAATGCACTGCTCTCCAAAAGTCCATATAATTATAATCCTGAGGCATTTCTCATACAAAGTGAATGAGTAGAGAAACCATCCAAGGGTCTGCTCATTGTGTGTGTGTGGCGGGGTGGGGGTGGGATGTCTCCTCACCACTGCCTGTGATTCTACCTTGTTCAGTGCAATCTTCCATTTTCAGCTTGCACCCTCACTCTAAGCCAAACATATCCATGACAAGCTTTGAATTTTCTGTTCTGCAGAAGGTGGCAATAAGGGATACTTCATGAAGCCCTAAGTGTGAGCTGAGGAGGAAGTGCTGGTAGAACAATGGTGGGGAAGCTGGGGTGCAGGCTACTGCCTTGTGCAGCTCATATGTGCTTGCTCGTACTTAGTCTCAGATGCACCATTCCCAATTTGTGATGGCTTTCTGCTGGGTCCAATGACTCTCTGACTTGGTAGGTTTGACAGAACCCAGCCCATTCTAAATAATTCTGCCCACATTCAGTGTCCCCTGGTAAGGTTCTTCATTTCTAGCTGGGCTCAGTAGCACTCCAGGAGCCTTTTTAGAAAGTCATAGGCAGAGGTATTACTTGTAGAGAATTCCACTTGGGCTATCTTTCTCTGTCACATCTTCTTACTTCACCTTATTGGCTAACCAGGGGAAGTGAGGAAGTACCAATACTGGGAGTAGCTATTCCACTTGTACTTTTGAAAACAAAGGAAATCAGTACAGCTGTATCCATTGGCTGGATTTGGTCTATTTATTTCCAACATAATTTTACTCTTAATTGGGTGGAGGATGAAACTCTTATCAGCTCAGTCAGTGTCCGGTGTCCTTAAAGTATTTGGCTCCTCCCTTTCTCCACACTGCACAGTTCTAATATGTGGTTGCAGTGCCCTTTGGAAAGGACTAGCGAATTACTCACATATATACTCACTAAGGCGGGCCAGGGTCCTTCTTCCTGCAAAGTAAGAATCTGCTTCACTCAGTGGATTCTACGTTTGAAAATTGGGTCTTGTTCAGATACAATGAATTGTGATTTTTTTTTTTTAAAAGAAAGAAATAAAAATGCTACAGAAAATTTGGCACTATAACATGTTATTACTATCTAATCTCCAGATCTCATAGATTCACCAATTGTCCTGATAATGTCTGGTATAGCAAAAAAGACCTAGATCAGAATTACACTTTGTATTCTGTTGTCACGTGTTTATAGTTTTCCTTGGTCAAAAGTAGTTCCTCAGACTTGCATGACCGTGACACCCTTATGAAGGTTATAGATCACTTATGTAAGCAAGGCAGGACATTTGAAGACCATGGAGATTACTTTCCAGGTAATTTTCCAAGGGCAAAGGCCAAACTTCCTTTCTGGCAAAGTTAATTCTTTATTATATACTGTTTTATTTCTTCTTTCTTTATAGAACATTTTTACATCCAGGGTTTAAATTTCTTTTCTGTTTCTATCTATTTTACATTTCTAGCTACATTTTTCTTTTTTTTGTTTGTTTTTGTTTTTTCCGGTACCGGGAATTGAACTCATGACCTCGCGCTTGCCAGGCAGGTGCTGTGGC